GGCTCACAGAAACATGCTAGCAGCAAGCTGTCCAACCACGGCAGAGGCATTTCTGAACATCACCGTGTCTTCATAGCACATTTCAGCCATCACCTTCTCTGCCTAGGAGACGTGAGACCATTCACCGAGACAGGGCCCCGGGCAGCTGCTCCTGAAAGGTCAGAGCTGAGCAGAAGCCCCCAAGCCCTGCCAGCCAACCGGCGAGGCAAGGGACAGCACCTGCCACCAGCGTGCCCCATACCAATGCTCACCAGGCACCCATGAGCCACATGTGCTCCCCGGGCTAAGACGACCTCTCGGCGGACAACCAAGGCTCAAAGAAGAGACAGGAGCACCCCAAATCGCACGCCCACACCTGACAGAGTGTCCTGACTCCACACCCATGTTCTTCCACACCACCTCCAGAAGGGGCAAAATTTACCCTGCAGAGGTGACGTTTGGCAGGGGAGAGGAAAGAAGCTCAAAAGGCGGCAGAAGGCCTGAAACTACACCCACCACCCACAAAACGGGGCACAGGAGGAGGGGTCTAGCCACAACCCCCAGAAGGCCAGTGGCGGGATGGGAGGCCTGGCGGTCAGGGCCCATGCCGTGGGCTCCACAGGGCGCACACACTGTGGATTTGCCTCAGCTACTGACTGTTCAAGTTTGAACCCCACACAGATCTGCAACTTACCATTGATAATAAACCTTGTTTGTGCTTCAGAAACCATGTGGAAAGAGCCATGAACAAGACACAGAGGCCAGGGTGAAAAACAGGGCACCGCTTGGGGCTAGACTTTCGAAGTCAATCTGCGTCAAGGACCTCTCAAGCCAATTTGGGTTAAGACCTAGGAAACACCTTCAGAAGTGGTAGACAGCAGCTTGAGCATTTCCACTCTGGAATTTCTTTTTTTTTTTCTTTTGAGATGGAGTCTTGCTCTGTCACCAAGCTGGAGTGCAGTGGCGCAATCTCAGCTCACTGCAAACTCCGCCTCCCGAGTTCAAGTGATTCTCCTGCCTCAGCCTCCCAAGTAGCTGGGATTACAGGTGCATGCCGCCACCATACCTGGCTAATTTTTGTATTTATAGTAGAGATGGGGTTTTCACCATATTGGCGAGGCTGGTCTTGAACTTCTGACCTCAGGTGATCCACCCACCTCAGCCTCCCAAAGTGCTGGGATTATAGGTGTGAGCCACCAGGCCTGGCTGGAATTTCTTAAGATGAAAAACAGCTGGACAAACCTAAGGACAGACAGCCAAGTGCCAGAGGAGGGTAGGGAGTGCAGGCCAGCCTGGGGAGCAGAACTCAGTGGGGCAGCTGCAGGACAAATGTGCTCCAGGAGAGAGAACGAGATGCCCCCAGGGCCTCAACAGGGGTCAGCTGCCTCCCCAAAGCTGTTTCCACAAAACCTCTCAGCAAAGACTGGAGAGAGCTGTAAGTGTCCCTCGCTGTGCATACCTGAGAAAGACCCTCTGCCCTAAGGGCCTTCCTAGCTCCAGCGGGTTTCCTGTGCCCTAGGGCTAACAGGCTTCTCACCTGCCCTGAACGGTGTCTTCTGTCCCACAGGGGAGAAGCTTCCAACTGCAGTCATTGTTGGAGAGCACGGAACTCCTGCTGAAATCTTCTCCCCTATGGGACAGAAGACACCGTTCAGGGACAGGTGAGAAGCCTGTCAGCCTTAGGGCACTGGGGAAACCCCTGTAGCTGGGAAGGAAAAGGAGACCCTGACTGCTGGGGGAGAGGTAGGAACGCAAGCTGGTTCTAGAGCTACAGCCAAGACCCAGGGACACAGTGTCCACCCACGGCTGGAGTTAATCAAGCAACAGAGTATGCCCCCGACCCCACTGCCAGCCAATAAGCACTGGGCAGTAGGACACAGTGGACTCATGCGTGTGTGGCAGAACCACTCAGCACGACGGAGGAACAGCCTGCCTGACCATGCGGAACTTCATCTGTGAACGAAAGATATTTTCGTTTCTTTTTTTTTGAGACAGAGTTTCGCTCTTGTTGCCCAGGCTGGAGTGCAATGGCATGATTTCAGGCTGGAGTGCAGTGGTGTGATCTCGGCTAACCACAACCTCTGCCTCCCAGGTTCAAGTGATTCTCCTGCCTCAGCCTCCCAAGTAGCTGGGACTGCAGGCATGCACCACCACACCCAGCTAACTTTGTATTTTTAGTAGAGACAAGGTTTCTTCATGTTGGTCAGGCTGGTCTCAAACTCCGAAACTCAGGCAATCCACCCGCCTCGGCCTCCCAAAGTGCTGGGATGGCAGGCGTGAACCACCGTGCCCGGGCAGGATATTTTCACATTGGGTAATCTAGAATAGCACATTACTAAGCCAAGGAGGGAAAATGTGGTCACCTTAACAGACAAGAATAATTCAACATCCATTCCTGCTAGAGGTTCTCTGTGACCAGGAACAGGAGAGTATGTCTTTAACGTTAGAAAACAGCCGTCGCCATTGTTCCTGGCAGCCTCTCGTAAAATCACAAGGACGGCCCTTGGTATCCGTCCAGCATCGCCCTGGGGGAAGGAAGCCATAGCACAGTCAGAAGGCAAACTGGAAAATAATATGAACTCAAACCAGGAAGCACTTCTAGAAATCCAGGAGGGAAAAACCAAGAGTCCCACAGAATAAAGGGCAATGAGCTGAACAGAACAGAAAAGCAAACAAGCAAATGGCCCTTGAACACATCAAGAGAGGCTACAACTTGGTCAAAATGTCAAAGTGCAAATTAAAACCATGCTGAGATCCTCTTTCTCGCCTGAGTAGTGGAAATCTCAACGTGTGGCCAGCTGCTGCTGGGAGGCTGCGGGGAAGGGGCACTTCCACATATTTTCTGGTGCAGGAACGACATAGAACCATCCACAAACAGCGTCTGGCAACGCCCACCAGCACCACGACAGAGGTGCTTTGACGCTGCAGTCTCGCTTCTGGGTATCTATCCACACATAAGACATGGAAGGGCTGGGTGTGGTGGCTCACACCTGTAATCCCAGCACTTTGGGGGGCCAAGGCGGGTGGATCACGAGGTCAGGAGGTCAAGACCATCTGGGCCAACTGGTGAAACCCCATCTCTACTAAGATACAAAGAAAAAAAAATTAGCTGGGCATAAGCATGGTGGCGTGCACCTGCTACTTGGGAGGCTAAGGCAGGGGAATCCCTTGAAACGCACATTGCAGTGAGCTGAAATCGTGCCACTGCACTCCAGCCTGGAGACAGAGTAAGACTCCGTCTCAAAAAAAAAAAAAAGAGATGATGGGAGAACAAAGCTTTTCACAGCACATGGTGGCATTGCTTTAATGGCAGAAGACTAGAAACTACACGGCTTAGCACCAGGAAGCCAGCAGGAGAAGCCAGGCAGCTGCATGGGGGAGATCCAGGCAGCTACGTGGGGGAGATCCACACAGCGTGGAGAGGAGTGAGGATGGTGTCTTGGGTGGACACGCTGAGGTCCCCATCGATTGGATAAACCCGAAAAGCCAAGGTTCAGAACAGGGTATAGATCACGACCTTTTGTGAAACTGTATGTTGTACGGGTATAAAAGTAAATATTCATATCTACTTGTACAAGAGTCTAATGCAAATGGCACCTGCAGGAGCAAGAAGCAAGAAGACAGGGGCCGCGGGAGGGGACTCGCAGTGAGGACCCTTCCAGCTAACTGTGACTGTGGATCCATGTTACTGTATTACCTCTTCCATTAAAAGCCCTTTAAATAAGAGGAAATGAATACTTTAGAAATACAAATTCGTTATCCAAACATGAATCCCTGGCATGACTAAGGATGATACTGATACATGATTGACAGTAAGGAAGGATAATTTTCCTTAAAAAACACACACACAGTGCTATCTGCAGGGTGTCAGGCCTGGCTGCTGGAGAACATAAATTAGACCCTACCATCCATGTGCACAGTGGGGCAGGGCCAGCCCCTCCTCGAATCACATGGCTCTGGGTGCCCTGCTTCCTCAGAAGATACCCAGGGATTTCCAAGGTGTCTTCGCCAAAACCACACACCAGCCAATCTGGACACATGCCTTTGACTGCATTCATTTACAAGGAAGTGATTCTGCCCTGGCTGACCAGAGCACAACCTTCTTGGGATATGTGCACTTTAACTTTCGTTTGAACTCCATTTTCTTACTAGAGAGACCAATTTGCTTGGTTTAACAAACTGATAACCAGTTCGGAACTCAGCTCTACATACGGGTTTTTAAAAAGTTTTATGTAGTATTATTTCAGAGTGGGCCTTGCTCTGTCACCGAGGCTGGAATGCAGTGGCATGACCATGACTCACTGCAGCCTCAACCTCCTAGGCTCAAGTGAGCCTCCCAGCTCAGCCTCCTGAGTAACTAGGACTATAGGCACATGCCAACATGCCCAGCATTTTTGTTTGTTTTGATGGTGTCTCACTATGAGGGCTGGCCATGAACTCCTGAGCTCAAGCAATTGTCACATCTTCATCTTGGGCTCCCAAAGTGCTGGGATTACAGGTGTGAACCACCACGCCTGGACAAAACAAATTTTATAATTTTTTTTTTTTTTTTTGAGACAAGAGTCTCACTCTTTCACCCAGGCTGGAGTGCAATGGCGCAGTCTCTGCTCACTGCAACCTCTACCTCCCTGGTTGAAGCGATTCTCCTGCCTCAGCCTCCCAAGTAGCTGAAATTACAGGCATGTGTCACCATACCCATCTAATTTTTTTGTATTTTAAACATAGACAGGGTTTCACCATGTTGGCCAGGCTTGTCTCGAACTCCTGACCTCAGGTGATCTGCCTGCCTTGGCTTCCCAAAGTGTTGGGATTACAGGCGTGAGCCACCAAACACTGCCAAGTTTTATAGCTTTAAAAACCATTTAAATTTCTTTTCTCTTGCTGAATTTAAAAGAAACCAAAGTCCCTCTCGATCTCCCTTTACGAAAATACATAATAAGCAAAAAGGGGTTCTTTTTAGGGAGCTTCACTAATGCCCCAATGTAAAGCTTGCATAAACCACACTTATCCAAACACCTTTAAGAAAAATAGAAAGCGTTTTTATTAATAAAGTGTCTCATAGGCTAGAGTTAGACTCAGAGCCCAAATGCCGCAAGCAGTTGCATTTGCGATAGCTGAGAACAGCTGTTCCTTCCCCTCCAACTCAGGCTGGCTCATGCTTGACTTACATTTCTCACTTCTGCTTTGCTACATTCGTCTTTGCCGGGGAGCCCCTCAGAGGAGCCCCCAGTGGTCTCCTTAGAGGTGCCATGAACCAGGTTATTTACTCTCTGCACTTTTGGGTGTGGAAAGAGGAGCCCAGAGCAGGGAGCCAAGTCCAGGCCTGGGTGTTGAGTGCCTTCTGATGGTGACATGCTGAGCCGTGATCCTGCTTGGGCGTGGCCTCCTTCTGAAGCGGATTCCTACGGAAGCCCAAACAGGCTGCTGGTCCTGCTTGCTGCTGCCTCACGCACTGGCTACTGATCCAAAAGCTGGTCAGAGGCCCTGGCCATTTTTTCTCATATTCACATGCCACGACACGGGGCACATCGACCAACAGAAGATACACCCTTCGGTCCAGGGCAGCTCAGAAGAGCAGTGCCAGAATAGTTCGGGGGCACTTGTCAATACATTGAATACAATTCCACATTGCCCAAATCCTAAGTAGCACTTTGTGTCACCAAATGACAGCATTTTGCTTGATAGATTTCAGTTTTTTAAAGTTGATTATTAAAAAGAAAAATAAGGATGAATATAAAAGTAGAAAGCTGCATTTTAGTCTTGAACTATTTCTTCCAAAGGTTTATTATGCATTTCCTTTGAATATAAATTACCATCAGCTCAACTTTTAAATTTAAATTCCTGAAGTATGACTCCACTACTTCCTGAAAACTTACAAACCAAAGTATAGAAAAATAATCCCATTTGTGTATTTTCTCAAAATAAGAGAAAAATTAAATTTCTCAAATTAAATAAGATCAGGATCTAGTGTCTACAATAAGATTCAGTAACAATCACACGTAGAGACCTTCTAAAACTTCACAAATGATCTTACAATCTCTGCCAAATGCTTACCTGTCTTGTAAGACTTCAATTCGTACTGAAAAGAGATAAAGTGTCACAATATGAATGAAAAGTCTATTTCCCTGCACTTTCCTCACAAGAAAAACCAAGTGCGCACATTTGAAAATAAAAAATCCAAATGCTTATGATTTTTCCATGTGTGAATTGAACTGCACAATCCATACACTTATGGAAAAAATATGTGATTTTTTTAATGATTTATGTATAAAAGAAAAATAAACGTTATGATACAATTTGACAGACTACTTCATAAAAAATTTTACTTACATACAATGTATGCAATTTTTTGCAACCCCCAAATTCTATTTATATATACAAATTCATAAAAGGTGGACATCTTAACTTGAAGTGAGGCAGGGGCCATTCAGGCTCACGGCTAAGTCATCTGATTCAGTAGAAAAGAGATTATAAATACATGAAGGACTACTTAACTAATGTCTCTCCGCTCCCCCAAAATGTATTTAGTATAATCTGATCAAACAGAATTTTATGGTGCACTGTAGGAAGAAGAAAACCAACATTTCAGAATGGCAGATCTTAATAACCTGCTCCTGAGCTTACTCAGCTCAGAAAATCACAAAATTACCTTAGTGCGGAATTCATTTTGGAAACTGTATGAAGAAAAACCAAACCGTGCCATTTGTGCTAATCCTTAAAGAAACAAAACCTGGCCAGGTGCAGTGGCGCACGCCTGTGATCCCAGCACTTTGGGAGGCCGAGGTGGGTGGATCACAAGGTCAGGAGGTCGAGACCATCCTGGCCAACATGGTGAAACCCCGTCTCTACTAAAAATACAAAAATTAGCCAGGTGTGGTGGCGTGCGCCTGTAGTCCCTGCTACTCAAGAGGCTGAGGCAGGAGAATCGCTTGAACCGGGAGGCGGTGGTTGCAGTGAACCGAGATGGCACCACTGTACTCCAGCCTGGGCAACAGAATGAGACTCTGTCTCAATAAAAAAGAAACAAAACCAAGCAATTCTCACAATTTAAATGGCACTCCTTAGTTTACATAATAAACACACTATCAAGAAATAAAAGTATTAGGATCCAGACCTTAAGATCTCTAAGTATGTCTTCACACACAGTGAAATGCTTTATACAATAACTCAAGACTCTGCTGAGTATTTACAATAGTCTCTGTAAGTGAAAAACTATAAACCATGTTTTTTTTATAAAACCTTTGATTTAAAAAACAATTTCAAAAAAAAATGGCTAACATCAAAAAAATGTTGTAAATCAGTGCATCCTTTCACGTCTTCCTTATGTAGTTTTTCTAAGCTTCCGTCTCTCGGGTGTGCACATATGCAAAGGAAAAGGCATGATGCCAACGCCTCGCAGAGCAAGCCCCTCTTGAGGAGGACAAGGACTCCAAGGAGCTGTGCTGGCCTGTCCAAGGACCACCAGGGTAAGATGCTGAAGGAAGCGAGGATGTGGCCCATGACAATTTCCAGATAATGTCCACAACAGCCACACTGAAATCCCCTTTGTAAATTTATGAACTTTGAGGACTAGAAACATAAGCAAAAGATAATAGAGATCAAGGAGAAAATTACATAGAGAAGTACATGCAATTACAAAAGAGGTCAAAAAACAAAAGCAATCCAGTTGATTCGTACCTTATATGGAGACAGGCTGAGATTAGCCCTTTCGAATGGAAATTTAAAATATAATGTATTCATTTTCAGGCCTCATTCTACTTATAAAGTGCCTATCGGAAAGTACACAGTCATCCTTCATTCGGCAGTGACCTCTGAAAGTCTTTCCACTAAATCAAAATAAAGGACCACTGTTCCCTTGGTATGCCAACACCACTTACCTGCTAGAGAGTTCTGGTACAGAGCTAAACAGGATGAAGCAGAAACACAAAGAACAGGCTTTCAGAAAAACTTTTCAGAGGTGTTTGGAAGCGCTATTTATAACTAGCCAGTATTTCATCTGGAAGGAGGTAAGAAAACATGTTTGTTTTTAATACACTTAACATGCTTACAGTTTTAAAGCTCTGAAAATTAGCTGGATAATAACATTGTAAACTGTTCATTTTCTTAGCAAACTGGAACTTAAAGAGTAACGATTTTCTGTCTTCCTTTTTGCTTTTAAACTGGGGTGACTTTTCATCTCTGAAACTTTTGAGTGTTCACCTTCGCGAGGTCGAATTGATACTATACACCATTTTCTGGATTTTCTCCTCATTCCTGAGAATGTTGGCCTTCACTGCGCAGATCTTGTCCTGCTGGTCTTTGATCAGCTGCTCCAGCTCCGCCAGCTCAGCCTTTAAGGGCTCCAC